TTATCCGGATCAACATATAGGATACTTTTTACTGTTGGAAAATACCTAATCTCTGAGAAATCTATGCTAAACGTTAAAACGTAATTAGAGACGAACCCGGGCGGAACGAGGGTGAATCGCTAGTAATATATAATAGCCAAATACTACAAAAGAAATCTCAGAAAATACAAAAATGCTTCAAACTTGAATTTTTGCTGTTAGATTCCCATAGGAACTCCTCTAAGAAAGGATTTTTTGAAATTCAACCCCTGAACAGATTTGAGGACAAAATGGTTTAAAGCTTGTCTGAAAATCCACCTATATTTTAGCAAATTTAACATGTAACAGTTAAAGCTACGTGCTAAATACATCAAGGGTTATCAAATTAATTATCAAACACAATAATAAACAAAAAGAAACTAAGTGTTTCGATCGCTTCCGCCGCGTGTTCTTTGGGTTATCGCTTCACTAAATATTTATATTCGATCCTACTGATAATATTCGTGCTATAGATGTTGCTGTTATTATAAATTATATTGTTTGAAAACAGTCATTATGTTATGTTTGTTTTTTAATGTTTGTTGTAGCGTTGTAGCTATGAAATATGTAGGTGTACAAAAGGGATCTCGAGACTGATGGTGTCAGTCGTATTGAAGATGTCATTCTACAATCGTTTATGAATAGAAATCTAAAATAAAAAAAAATGTGTGTTTGTTTGCAATTCCCACATGGTAGAATTGAAACTTAATATTATATATTTGTCAGACAATAACAACGGTTACCATGGCAACACGGCAATGTATTCTATCCCATTCTCTCGCCGATCGATCCTATATATTTATGTGTTTTTCTCTTTTTAGTGTCGCATTTTCGTTTTATCGAGTTTCAAATCACGATTCTAAAGAAGTTTCACTTCAAAAAATAAAAGTATGAAAACATTAAAGCGAACTAAGGAAGGAAATAAGTTCACGTCACGTAGCAAGACTCGCAGTATGAACTGCAAATATATGTCTTCGACTGCATAATACTATACACACAAATTGGCGTCTGTAAACCGCTATTTTGATATAACGAATGTAACGACGTAGAATCATTAAAATCGATTGAGCCGTTTAGTAATTACGATGGAATATAGGATGAGACATACATATTACATTCATACAGGTCAAAAGCCATAACCTCTTTTAGGCTTCGTCACAGTCGGGTAAAATATATATAAATGACATAATTTTATGACAATTATGATTCTGAATTATATTCATTTCACGATTCATTTTGCTATTTAATGCAGCTTTGAAAATTCTAGTCTTCAAATATTAAATTAAAAAAAATGATTTAACAGAATAAATACAACAAAAGTTTATACTTATAGCCAGGAACTACATTTGGGCTTTCTATGTTAGAGTTCAAAAAAATGTAAAAAACGTTGATTGTTACACGCAAGTTCACTATCAATGATAATTCGTGATTTCTCACACTCTATTGCATCTTATCTTATTTTATGAGTAAGGGAAGTCAATTATATTTCAGCGTTTAGTGTAAACCTGTGTTCCGCTAAACTTTTTAAACCCATAAATGATTTCCATAGAAAAAATCACGTTGATATCTTTCTGATATAAATGAGATTTAAAAAAAAGGTGGATAAACATTAATAAAATTATTTAATATTTGTAATATTCAAATGTTTTCATAAACCATACAATTCAAAAACTAGCACACAGGATGCATGTTTTCCGAAATGGTAACTCGAATTATTTTGTTGAAAATAAACTGTATACAAAAAAAATTATCGATAATATTAAAACTCGTCATTATCTATTAAACAAAAAAAAAGATTGACAAACAGATGATGAAAAGGTACTGAACTGTTTTGTCTTTGCCTATTTACGATATACAAACATAAAAGACTAGCAGAACCCGCGGCTTCGCTTGCGCTAAAACTACAAAAAAATCTCTAAAAAGGTAGTTTCATACAAACTTTAATCCCCTATTTTACCTCCTTATAGGATGAATTTTGAAAAATGCTAAGACATATTTATTTAATTTTATTTCAAGTAATTTTGATAATAAATATTTTTTTTGGATTGTATTATACGTGTTTTCCCATGGGAAAGAGATAATCTCCCGCGGTTAAAAGTAGCCTATGTCACTCTCCCACCCTCCAACTATCTCCACACAAAAAATCACGCCAATCCGTTACTCTGTTTCGTCGTGAAAGAAAGACAAACAAACACACTTTAACATTTTTTATATTAGAATTGGAAGGCAAAATTTTTATTAAAAAATAACTGTCATAAGTAACAAGAGACCTAGCCCACAGCTAACAAACATACACATTTTTTTTTTAATTTATAATAGTAACGTGACTGATCATAGATAATAATTACATCAATTCCAAAGTCCAGGTAAAGTAAATAACAAGCATATTTGAAAATTATTTCTCAGCAAAATAACACACTAGACAGGCTGTCGCGTGAGTCCAAAGAGCAAATTCTTGCAACCAGGTGAAAAGGTTAGAGCCGTACGAATTAATATTGCATCATTATAAGGTTATCTTGAGGTACTATTTTTAGGTACATAAATAAAATATTTGGCTTATTTTATTTTCATTTCTAGAATGAAACATAAATATTAAATGGTCAGGTTTTTAATCTAAATTACAGAGGTGTTTTTTTTTACTTTATATAGAACTCATAATACTTTCTTAGATTTACGCGAATATTTGATATTTTAAATGAAACTATCATTATTCATTTATTTTTGGTTCCCGACGGTTCGAATATGTAAAGTATTCAATCATGTCAGTCTCTCCCATGGCCATAACCCTAAATCAAAACAAGCCCCAAACAACCCTAGATGAAATAGTAGTAGTTATAGTGATAAATAGAATGACAATCCATCCACAATTGGAGAAAATATCGCATAAAATATAAAATTATACAACTGAATTGAGTACTTCCTTTATAGTCGGTATAAATCATATAGGTACATATAATAAAATAAAAAAGGAATAGATAATTATGAAAACAAGTGCGAGTCGGACTCGCACACAAAGGGTTCCTTACCATAATCGTTTTTTTCAATTTGCTTGGCAGCCTTTTTTAAATTCGCCGTCTTGGTTTGTTGTTATAGCGGCAATAGAAATACAAGCTCTGTAAAAATTTCAACTCTCTACCTAATACGGCTCATGAGATACAGCCCTCTGACAAACGGACAACGGAGGCTAATAATAGGGTTCTATTGGCACCCTTCGGGAACGGAACCCTAAAAACTAGTAATAATTATGTGAAACCTGTTGCACTATAAGAGATTGAACGCAAGTGAAGTATTTCCAGCGTAGAGAGGGGCATTGGCATAAAACATGTATAAACAATAATTACCGATATCTTAATGGGCTAATAGCGCATCCCTTTGATCTTGACATAATAGTGAATAGCGATTGCATTTCTATGTAATTCGTCAGAACTAATATGTTATTTATTTTATACTACTCATAAACTACCTCTACATCTTTGGTCTAATGGCTAGCATGTGCAGCTGCTGATGCAAAGGTCCTGAGTACAAGTTCCGGGTTAGGTTAAATACCTAAAATTATTGGATTTATTCCTTACAGATTTCTCAGTAACAACCTGACGAAGGGAAGCTGGCGGTGTTACACCCTCATGCCTCAAGTATTCCTGCAGTTCATCTCTTACCGAGCGTGTCGATTCACAATATGAAAAAATAACGCGTAAAATATACATATAAAGATATTTATAAAATCATTGTAACTTTTATTTAAAAAAGTAATTAATTGTGTTTTACAAACTAAGAAGAGGAAAATCTCAGACAAATATTTGCCGACTGTAGTTACATATCTGTTTTTTTCTTTAATTTTAAATGAATCTTCTTAATTACATTTAAAGGTACCTACTTTTACTGCTGCTTTTTTACAAAGTAGCATTAGATTTTCACTGTCATTCAGTGGTAAGAGTAATTCGTTCACAGTTTCATAGATATAATGTAATTTTAATATTAATTTAAAAATAGAAATTGATTTCTCACATATTTAATTTCTTTTGACTTAAATCTACCTTAGCCAGTGTTGAATTGTACTATTATATATTTCCTTAACATATTTTAATCAAACTTTTATTGTAGGTGATCCATGGTAACAAAATTCACAAGTTTTTCAACACCGTGGTCCATAAAATGTCAAATTGTCGCCCCATCTGACTTTGAGAGGGAATTGTGAAAATCCTCATAACTCTTGGTTACTATAATTTCTTCTGCTCCATTGGCTGGTTTCAGTAAGTTGAGATTTCTATGTACGTATATATTATTTATTTTTGAATTATATTAATAATAAAATCTTTCATATGGTAAGAAGATGGTTGGCGAACGACCAAACTTACGGACGGATCTTAAGACTATAAGCAATTCAATTATTTTATATAACATTAGGTAGGTATTCTAACAGTAATCTAGAAACAAATTCATATACAAACGAATTCCTTTAAGTTTTTTAGAAATCAATTTCAGGATATCCCATATTTTTATAAGTTATCTCAATTCCCATAACTTTATCTTATGCTTTAATACTACGAGCTATTTTAAAGATGCGTTTATTTAATTATAACTAATTAATTTAATTAATTGTCATTATCTTTCAAAGTAATCTCTTGGCGGGGCACAAGAAAAGATATCGCATTAAATTATTTTTATTTGCACGTTTTTCCCACATGCACCTGATTATGTGACCTTTTACAGCATTTAGGCACTATCTTATAGGTTATCCGAGACTTCCTTCAAAACGTATATGCATATCAATCAGAATATGTTGTATACTAGCATTGCCCTCCAGTGGATTTTCTCTGATGCGGTAACAGACAGACAGACAAAAATTCCAAAAACTATAGATTCGGCCTCTGTATCAATAATAATGTTTATTTCAATAAGATTTTCCAAAAAATATTTAATGTACAGATTCGGCTTAGTTACAATTTTATTATAGGTATAGATATATACATAGCAAAACTAACCTTCTGTTGGAAATATGATTTTCTGCTCGGTCCTGCCATAATAGTCGTCGAACTCGGGAGGTTTATCAGTCCCCTGGCTATAGGTGACTCCTTGGGCCACTGGCATCGGCAGGCTGTTGACCGGCACCGCCACGACCGGCTTCCTACTTAACCTCAGCTTTTTAAGTATCTGCTGCTTCACAAACTCTATCCTGGCTTCCGTCAACACAGTAACACTTTGATCCCCACTCGCACAGTTCGCACACGCCCCCATATCTCCTAAACATGAAAAATGTACGCTGATTAGAACGATCACGAACACTCGCGCGTTCATTTCGGCAGATTTCGTCTACGGAGGCAATTGAAATATGATAGAAGATCGAGACGCATGCGTACACACGGTCGCTATACGACTGCGCAAGCGCACGTCGCGCGCGCTATTATAAGGTAAGGGGTGTTCCGGAGAGACTTCTACACTATAGGGTTGCTAGACTCTGGCAACGATGCGAACGCATCTTATAAACTTGTTGCGTACGAATTATTTTATTTGGTATTGATACTACGATTGTTTGATTATTTTTTAAATAATTTACATTTTTGTAAATTATTTATTAAAATGCTTCCCTGTTTTATCTTAAGTAAATGCGTCAGGAAGTTTATTGTATTGTCAAATGTCGTTATTTAATTATTTTGCAAATTTGCGAGGCAAAAATAATCTGGTATATATGCATGGTAGAGAAAGCTTAAGCAATAATATCAGCAACGCAAAATATATAGAGTCCTAAAGTGTCACGTTTCCAAAATATTTGAAGGTGATAGAGTCTATCGCTAACGACTAAACTTCGCTCCGCTCGGGTTCGTCCCTAGTTATGTTTTAACTTTTAGTACAGATTTCTCAGAGATGAGATATTTTCCCGCAGTAAAAAGTATCCTATATATTATCCCGGATACCCAACTATCATCATACAAAATTTCCTCAAATTCTGTCCAATGGTTATCTCGTGATGCATTCCCAGACAGACCACACAATAATTCTAAAAACTATAGATTCGGCTTTTGTATCGATAAAAATGACGATTTTAATAAGATTTTCCAAAAAATATTTAATGTACAGATTCGACTTAGAATTTTATTATACATATAAGTGGGGCGGAGATAAAACGTAACCTCCGTTCTCAAGATATATTATACATATATGTATATTCTTGAACATTTCATCATCATTATAATATTAGTTAAAATTTCAGGTTAATTAATCAAAATAATGACGCAATTCCCTACCACAGTTACTATAGTGGATGATATAAATACGCACGAACGCTTGATAGCGATAGTTTGTAAGATAGACCTTCTACAATATGGTTTTAATGGAGTATTATAGCTGAATTGGTTAACGGCATGCTTATGGCAATACGGTGTTGTTAATTGTAATGCCGTAACATCAGCTGTTAATTCATTAATATTAAAATAGTGGCTTTAAAAAAATATGTGGACCTACTCGATTTAAAAAAATCGGACAAACGCGAGTCTCACTCGCACACTGAGGGTTCCGTAGCATGAAATATTAAAATAAGCTTACACTCGCAATTTTTTAATGATATAACTAATTTACGTTTTTCGGATTTTTCCCTTTACTTGTGCTATAAGACATTATTGCTTCTTGCCTTTCATGATTCTAGGTCAACGCGCAGTACCCTATAGATTCTGATCCCTTGCGTGTTGCAATATGCGGCATAAACTGACTTAGAAGTTTGATTTTTTCACAGCTCCAATGGATTACAGAAGTAAGTATTTTTATTAATTACAACTTAGTACTCTCACGCATTCCTCAGACAAATGACCTTCACAAGCACAGACAGACAGACAGACAATCAGACAGAAAAACAACGAAGTGACCTTATAAGGGTTCCTTTTTTCCTTTTGAGGTACTTTGAACCCTACAAAAATAATAAAATCGTACTAATTAATGTCGAAGATATTATAAAGAAATATCTGTTGTTTTTGAGTTACGTATAACCAAAGAAACAAACACACAAAAATTATAATATTCATTGTTTTAGGTGCTGAGAGAAATTGACTCTATTTCCATTTTATTTTTCACCACGAAACTTTAGCCTTCACTCAGGAGTCTCAGGTACACACTTGTTGTAATATATTATCAGACATACAGTACAGTAGTATATACTACAGTATGGTATTATATCATCTTTGGTAAGCTGACCAAAGTATCATCACAATCTAAATGATGCTTAAAAACAAACACATATAAATATATATTAATAAAAACACTCAGCACGAATAATACTACGATTTTGCTTTCGTATATTATTCCTAGTTATAAATTATCTCCATTTAAAAATTCATTTCAATGTGTAGAGCCATTAAGTACTAATACTAATACTCACCAAAGTTTCATCATTAACGGATGAATAGATCATTTAAAAACCCACAGAGAAAAACTACGAATTACGAAGAAACTTTTTTTTTATATCTATACTAATATTATAAAGAGGTAAAGTTTGTGAGTTTGTAAATTGTGACTTTGTGAGCTTGATATGAAGATAGTTTGAGATCCTGGGAATGACATAGGATACATTTTATCCCGGAAATCATCCCTTAAGGGGTTGAAAATGGTAATGAAAGTTTGTATGGGGAATCAATCGAGGGTGAGTCGCTAGTATTATATATAGATGTTTTTGTTTGTTCATATACTCGTATACATTATTTAGGATAGTGTATAAGTGCAGTGTGATTGTGTCAACCCTATAGCATCTGAGCGGTATCGGAGGTCAGTGTGTGCCGCTCTTGGACAATGGACCCGCGTGATACAGATCGTAAGTCAAGCGCTGAATGTATATATAATGCGCTATATTTGTTTTCGGTACATAAATGTTTTGGTAAGCTTCAATTTGTAAATAAATAATTTTGTAATATCATTTTTATTTTTCATGTTCTTATATACATTTAATCATCTTTGATTAAATGTATTATCATAGATCTGTATGACGAAGGTATACTTATTATTTTATTACTAAAATTCGCGAAAATTTGTTATTACATCTATACATATAATAAAATTCTAACTGAGCCGAATCAGTACATTAAATATTTTTTGGATAATCTTTTTGAAATAGTCATTATTATCGATACCGAAGCCGAATCTATAGTTTTTAGAATTTGTGTCTGTCTCTCTGTCTGGGACCGCATCACGAGAAAATTTTTGATGAAATTTCAGATTTTGATGAAATTTAGTATGATGATAGCTGGTTATCCGGGTCAATAACTTTAATGCGAGAAAATATCTATAAATCTATACTAAATGTTAAAACATATCTAAGAACGAATCCTAGCGGAGCGAGGGTGAGTCACTAGTTTATAATATTAACATGAAAAATCCACAGATCTCGTGCTGTCACGACCTTAGAATACATTAATAATAATAAATAATGATAATAATAAATATGTTGAACATTAACACACAGCACCATCTAGTTCCATGGTAAGCTACGAGGCTTGTGTTATGGATACCAGATAGTTGATACACTACACATATATAACTTTAAATACATACATGTTATAAATATAAAAACCCATGACTGGAGTACAAACATTCGTGCTCATCACACAAATGAATGCCCCCAGCGGGACTCGAACCCGCGACCGCTGGTACATCAAGTAGGGTCACTACACACTGAACCAAACGTGTCGTCAGCCTTAAATGCAATGCTTAAAGTTGTTTTCACATTTTTTTAAATTAAAAGCGCGCTCAAGTGTTACAGTCATTGTTGTGAAAAAATATTTCGCGTATAAATTTCGCTTAGTTACAGTTTCATTATACCTATGTATAAATATTAGTTAGTTATTTATTTACAAAATAAAACATTTATTCACCGTCATTATCTCGCTCACGCACTCTCCTCGCGTAAACTCAGCGTCACAAAGGTACAACTTCTGAATAACCCATCAGTGCATATCACTGATGGGTTATTCTGCCACCTCCAATGTTTTTTTAAATGTATTCCGAACTCCGAAGTCGTATCTCTAGGGTTTTTTTTTTATTTTTTCGATATCTTATTTCATTTCGAGATATGATTTTTTTTTCTGACCGAAACCGAGCGAAAAGCGATCGCATTTTTCACAATTTTTCGATTTAAAAAAACCTTTGAGTGTTTTTAAATATATTTTTTTTTTGCATTTTGTCTCATTTAGTCAGACGCATCTTTTAACGTCGCAATCAACCACGTAGTCCCAAAAATTCACGACACCAGGGCGGTGTCGCACTTTCGCTGAAAATCGGGCGACAAAAAAAAACATTTTCAATATTAAAAAACTATAACATATTAACTTAAAATTTAAAACAGGTTTAACAGTAGCCTATAAAGCAATTTGTAGAATTTTCGCCATTTTCAGTCTTCAATTAAACTTATTATGATTTTTGACAATAAACAAATTTTGTATCGAAATAAAAATGTTCTTAATACTCGGAGGTGATGTAACTTCCGTTGAGTGAAAGAATTTTTAGAATCGGTTCAGACAGTTTCAGGGATTTCCGCCGAAATACAAACTTAAACTAAGAAACTTACAAACTTACACACTTTACCTCTTTATAATATTAGTGTATATTTAACTTTCAAGTTTAAGTACTAACAGTATATAAGTTACTTCAGGCATATGGTCTCATCACGAACAAGAAAAAATAGTTCAAATAAATGTCAATAGATGACTTTACATGTATCGATTTCATATTAAAGTTGTGTTAAATTAACGAAAGATAAAAGAATAGATTCCGATAAGGTGAGTTGTGGTTTAAAAAAATATTCTAAGTGAAGAGAAACGATATCATGCGCCCGTAAATCAAATTTTACTGATTATTGAAATATCAGCAATCACATGATGGGTTTGTAGTCCATATTCACAGATGGCGCTTTTACTTTTTATAAGTGGCTTATCACGGTCAAAAATTTTTGAAATCACTGAAATTTGTATGCAGGATGAATTTTACAATATTTACCATACGTTATTTTGCACAAACATATTTATAAAACAAAACAGTTCAACTACTTGCGGATCAACGACTATTTAATCTATTTAAGCAAACAAAAATAGCCCGAAGAATGGCCCGAATTAGCGCTGTCCAATTTTTTTGTATGGGATGAGGCATCTGTACAGGAATAGTATTATGTAATCTGTGTTCCAGGTTATTTGTGTACTCATCCAATTCCGTCCGGGCTAAAGCTAGCAAACATACACACATACAAACTTTTGCGTTACGTTACGTATATAATAATCACTACATTATACACACTTACTACACATACAGTAGTGTAATTATACCAGAAGTTATATATAGAACGTTATTTTTAAACTAAATTCATTTCATACTAACTTTGCACATAATATAAATATGTATCTATCGACCCAATTTTCTTGTCTATTTGCCTTTAGAAATTCGCTGGTTCATTGAACTAGAGATAACCGCGTATTTTTACCCATACATCTGGGATCAACACACTGAATACAAATAATATCTGTTTTACCTATTGTTTGTTTTTGTACCTAATAAATTATAATTATAATTTGATGTATAGCAACATCATCCTTCGTTTCTTCAAAATAATTTTCATATATTTGAACTCCCTACCAATTCCGCTATCCAAAAATACCACTCACTTTTCCAGGGGCCGCGTCCCATATACTTAACTTGTGCCGTGGGACCATATCTATTTCAAACATTCCTTTTATAAAGAAATCTTTATATATATAATTCTTCTGTGAGTGTGTATGTCACTGAACTTCTCTCAAACGACTGGACCGATTTTGATGAAATTTTTTGTGTGTGTTCAAGGGGATCTGGGAATGGTTTAGATTCACAATTTGAATAATAATTTTCATCAAAAAAATTATTAAAAAAAGTTTGAAATTTTCAAATTAAAGACGTGTAGACAGGACAACGTCTGTCGGGTCCGCTAGTACCTTATATTTTCTTACATTTACGCGAATATTTGACAGTTTAATCTTTTTGGATTGTTTCGCGGAATTATTTTGATTTTTGATACCCGACGTTTCTTTCGTTGTGTAACAACTATATAATGCCTTTGAGACGACTAAAACCTTAGTCTCTCCCGTGACCATGATTGCTGTAAAACATTCGGAACGTCGGGAACAAAAAATCAAAATAAATCCGCGAAATAATCCGTAAACGTAGCTTTATTTAAAATAAGGAAATATCAATTTCAAGTCATGGCAATGAAACTAAAATATAAAAATGCTTCTTAAATAACTTCTAAGCACAAGCCGTCGGCGTGCACCACTTATCTGTGGCTGTAAACAAAATTAACCTTTGACTTCCAACTAAACATAAAAAAAGTAAAATTCAAAGACCTGACGGATTTTACAGCTATTATTATTATTTCTTATTTTTTATAATTTAATGTTTTAACTTCAGTTTTTAAACATACAATGTCGGTATTTTTATGATACTGGTTTTTGCCCGCGGCTCCCCTCGTTTGTTCTTTAACCAGTCCATTTCAGGACTGACGTCTAATCAAAATTTTAATATATGAATGCTTCTAAAAATGATTGGATTTGAATTCTTTGCACAAATACTGATAAATAAACTTTTTTATAACGTAAATTTACGCATAGCACATGCATGCATATATACAGGAGGTTATGTGGGTCTCTCCGGCTAGAAAAGCCAGTAAGTACTGCCCAATTAAACCCACCGGAAGTCGGAACCTTCCCCGTCTTAATGGGGCGTCGCAGGATCGCTTACGCACTCAACTACCGTCCGACAACCATAGGATTGCTTCTACGGTCCACTGACTTATTAAATATAGTCCATTCGGGGGCTCTTTTAATTTAAATTCAGTGATTGGACTTCTGTAGCATCTGATAAGTGATGAGAAAGAGTAAAAAAAATAGTAATAAAATGTAAAACACGGGCGGAAAGAGTATAACTGTTCACTTGAAAGAAGCACATTACTACCTTTTTTGCTCTCATTAGGATAAAAAACTCAAAATAAATATATGTATACTTTATTCATCTGGAGTTTTACAAGTACTTTTGTAATCGTCACGTTAACATTTTCAAAATTTAAATTAAATGTCAGCATGTACCTACATCCGTGAAGAAGCTACCACCGACTCGGGGGGCAGTTCTGCTGAGAAGAGCCTAAGAGAAATTCAATAGTTAATTTTTTGTCGAAAATAAAGTATTTGTTTATAATATTGCAATACAATAATTATGCTCTTATCCTACGTGAGTAGGATGAGAACATAATTATTGAATTAGTATTTCTGTCTGTCTGTCTGTCTGGAAATGCATCACGAGAAAACCACTGGACAGATTTTGGTGATTTTTTTATGATGATAGCTGGTTATCCGGTTTAACATCATCTTCATCTGTCATTCATCATCATCATTCATCATCATCTGTCATCTGTCATCTGTGCTACCGACATTAGCTCTACGTACAATATACTTTTAAATTAATATTAAAGGCTAATCCAGCTATACAAGTAGTTTGAAAACCTAAAATGTGCTGCGCTCTTGCTGTGGTATTGTTATCTTAGCATTTAAATTGATAAAAATGTGGATAATAAAATGTGTACGAGTAAACTCAATATCTTGGTGAAAACGAAGTGTCCTCTTCTACTTGCAAAATCTTTTTGCCTATAAATGACTTAAATGAAAGCTTAGTGATAAAAGTGACTTTAATTTTTAACAACTCTTTACTAAATGTGAATTTATATATAGTGTTTTATGTTTTTATAAAGAACTTGACGGTAATACGAAAATAAAAGTTATAGTCCCAGTATCATCTACAAAATACGAACAACATTTTGCATCAAATCGTCGTCGTATATCTTGGCTCTGTGGTGCAAGGCGGCTACTCGACGTCGTCAGGAACCCGAGTTCGAGTCGCACCTCGGGAATAGATTTTAATTTTATTTTCTACATATCTGTGCAAATTTAAAGACTTAAAGTTTTATCACAACAAAATGTCGAAAAATAAATTAGAATGTTGTTTACGCTTACCCAACTCAGTAGAAATTGTTAAATGTAAATCTTGTAATAAAAAATACCACTATGCATGTGTAAGTACCACAAAAATTGTTTATAAAGATTTAACAGAGGAATACAAAAACAATTGGCTGTGTCCGGTGTGCTCTAGACCCAGAACAGATAATACAAATACGCCAATAAGAAATGCTACAAGTTATACAAATGATAACAAAATTGAAGGTGAATCTGAACAATACGTTAACGTAGGCGCAAGGCGTAAGAGAATTAGGTCACCTGGGGATAGCCCAAGGAGTGAGTCTTTGGGAGAGATTAGAAGCATAATCAGACAGGAATTAACGTCGGTACTGGATAATTTTAAAAGTAATATTTTGGAGCAAATTGATTTTAAAATAAAAGAAGTTCTAGATAATATGAGCGGCATTAACACTTCAATCGGTTTTCTAGAAGAGAAATTTGAAGACGTCAAACAGGAAATGCATAACAAAATAAAAATAATTAACAACTTGGAAGAAGAGAACAGGAATTTACATTAAAATTTTAAGACTATTTATCTATGTGGCGCGTATCTTCCTCCTCCGGTTGACCGCAATACTTTAGAGATATTTGTAGAGAAAGTAAGTAATGTAATCTCTAATAATCATAGTATATTAAAAATACGTCTGGCAAAATACTTGATCTTGTTCTGAGTAACAGCAACATAGTAAGCATAAGTGAATGCAAAGATCCCATTCGTAAAATCGACCCACATCACCTTTAGATAGACTAGAATTTCAATACTTGAGGAGAGACTGCGATAAACTCATAAACAAATCCTACAATGATTATAAAAGACTTGACACATCCAAGGGCGCCGGTCCTGATAATATCCATCCTGTGTTTATATCGCGTTGCGCAACCAAACTGTCTTTTCTTGCATTTGATCTATAGCACCGAAGGAAGCAAGAATAGTACCAGTATTAAAAGGTGGGAATGCAGAATCTATAGAGAATTATCGTCCTATCTCGATTTTGTCAACTGCGTCAAAAGTCTTTGAGAGTCTAGTGCATCAACATTTGCTTAGTATGGTGAGACATAATCTAAGTCAGGATCAACATGGTTTTAAATGACTTAGATGAACTATATAAATGGTGTACAATGAATCTAAATGCTTACCAGTGAGAACTTCTAGAAAGCAAATTGCCCTCTTTCGAATTAATAAACATAAAACGAACCTAGGAAAAAATGCGCCACTTAACCGAATAGCTAGAACCTATAATGGCATTACTTCGGAAAATAGGGGGGTAGACATTTTGCATGACACATTTAACGCCTTTAAAAAAAAATTAATTGCTATCTTGATCAAATTCAATATTAATATTTCTTTCTTTTAAAAAAAAAATGTTGTTAATTTGATTGCATGCTGTTTCTCAATTTTTAATTTTTATGCTATAAATATAAATATAATAGGTACATATTAGTTGTTTAAATTAGTTATTATTGATTTTTTTGTTTTAAAATTCTATATTTTTTAATTTGTAATTTTAATGAATTATTATTTTTTTAAATTAAATTGGAATTATTATTATACTATTAATTAATACTAATGTGATAGCCTGTTAAAGTTAGCAAGTTGTAACTACCTATAATTAAAAGTGCAATTATCATGATAAATTATATGTAACCTAAGTTTAAGTATTATAATATTGTAACTTTTGTTGGTAGTTCAATAAATAAATAAATAAATAAATAAATAAACATATAGGATATTTTTTACTGCGGGAAAATATCTCATCTCTGAGAAATCTGTGCTAAATGTTGAAACCATGGACGAATGTGGTTAATTCGTTTATGGTTGAAACGTACCGCTAGTTCCAGTTCGCTAGTTCTTTTTAAAAATACAAAAGGTAACTGTAAAAATTGTTTTAGTCGTTTAAAAACTATAAAAGATAAAAGTATCATTTAATCACTCACTTCGCACGTGAAAGATAGAGTCGTTATTATTATTTTATTATGCAGAAGTTCTTATAATTTAAAAACAATTAATGATGAAGAGGAGGTTTTGTTATTTATTACATGTATTGTTTAACTTTAAATAAAGGTAAGTCCAATAGTCCCGAGTTAAATTTGCCGAGGTTCTGTAGCGCATCTGATATGTTTGCTTCAGCCAGGATACCAGATTTTTTTGCGGTGGTCCGTTCCAGGATTGCTGCATTCTGGGATCGACTACGTAATTCTAATAATGAGATTCTACGAGTTATATCCTGATACGGAGCGAAAAATATTATTAACCGTTTGATCGTTATATGGAAAGAACGTTTGGAGCAAAAACTTTAATCAGTCGCTTTGCACGTGAAAGCAGAGGTTAGAAGCGTTGATTTAACATCGACGTTCTCTACTTTGTTAATCCATTGGGACATTAACACACAGTACCAGTACCAGGTGAGCTACGAGGCTTATGTTATGGATACTTGATACACGACACATATATAACTTTACTAGCAGAACCCGCGGCTTTGCTCATGGTAAAATTACAAAAAAAAACTAAAAAGGTAGGTTTCATACAAAGTTTCATCCCCTATTTTACCCCTTCATGGGATGAATTTCGAGAAATGCACGTAGGCATTTATATAATTGTATTGAAGAGAATTAATACCAAGCTTCAAGTAATTCTGATCACAAATATTTTTTTAAAATGGACTGAATGGACTAGAATTATTATAATATTATAATTAGTTACCTATACAGATAAATAAAGTTGAAGTGTATGTTTGTAATGTCAAAATAACAGTTTTTTACTAAATGCATATTAAATTATATACGGTACTTGTAAGATAAACACAATTTTAAAATTTATGCCTGTCTGTCTGTTTGTTCCAGCTAATCTCCAAAACGGCGAGACTGTTTTTGACGGGACTTTGACAGGCAGATAGCTGCTTTTATATGGAGTAATACTTATTTAGATTACTTTTATTTCAGAAAAAGAATTAGACTTCTGCTGAAAAAATTAAAACGTACCTAGGGACGCGCCCGAGTGAAGTCGCTAAAATTAATTAAACATATTAAATGCCTTAAATTATTCAGTCGAGACATAATAATAATACTTAGTAATACTAATGTACCTACTAAAACTATAAATAAAGCTTTTTTTTATTAATCTATTTGGATTAACATTCAAAGTAAACACAATTAAATGAATGTAAACAAACTAATTATAATATTTTTCTGACACAATTTCTATTTTTCACCTTTATACGAACGTCGAACTCGCTTATTGTTTTCATTACAATTTAGTAATTAAAAACAATAATCATACTGCTAAATAATACATTGGTAGTCCAGTGGTAACGCGCTCGCTTGGAGAAACGAGAGAAGTGGGTTCAAATACCGGCTCGCGCACTTCTGACATTATCAGGTGAGAATCATTTTCAACCTGATTACCACTTGGCTTACAGTGAAGGAAAACATTGTGAGGAAACCTGCATTGTCTCAGAGAATCTAGCAAGTTTTACAAAGACATGTCAAGTCTGTCAACCCGCACTTGGCCAGCGTGGTGGACTATGGCCTGATCCCCCTTGTATTGAATTGAAGGGAGGCCCACCCCCAGCAGTGGGATGTTAAAAAGGGCTGTTTACAACAACAATCAATCACTTCTCATACGATTAGAACCAGTGGTACATGGCCTAGATGACCTCGTTTGCTATTTTTATCGACATTAATCCTTTAATAGTAACCTTACATTTAAGTCCACCTCTATTGTTGTTAGGATGATTTTGACTTTTCGACTCTTTTTGGCTTCAGATCAATATGTGGCTCAGAAAAATCATGGTTTTGTAGCTGACGAATTAGTAATACCACTAACAATATCGATAATTTTCATAAAGATAAAGTTGGACAAAAAAATTGACCAGTATGTATAATACCGATCCTATATCCCCTCGTTATAAATAAACGGCTTAACGGATTTTAATGATTTATATGTCGTTAGATTCGTCTTGATAACGTGGGTGTATTGGATATAAGGATATCTTTAAGGAATAAAATGAAATTCTTCCAAACCTATCGGAGACATATGTACGTTTTATCCTTGGTGCGAGTCTTGCTATGTGTATGTTTGTCTCCGACTGCATAATACTATTTTCTTTCGTTAACTTGTTCCTTTCTTATGTAGTTCGATTTTTACGCAGTCGGTTTTTTTTTCATTTTTATAATATTTTTATTTATATTTATACAAACAAGGAAAAATTAAGATGGCGTTAGATAATTACCACAAATTATTATGGTTCTTGGTAATATGTATCAATTCAGCTGTTTATAAACAAACATCAATGATAAAATAAGGTTATAAGATCGATGGCGTTGGAAACCGGTTTTAACGTAAACTTTATCGCACTATTGTATTAAAAACTAGCGACTCACCCTCGCTCTGCTCGGGTTACGTTTTAACTTTTAATATAGATTTCTCAGAGATGAGATGGTCCTATATGTTGATCCGAATAACCGGCTATCATCATACTAAATTTTAAATTTCATCAAAATCCGTCCAGTGGTTTTCTCGTGATGCGGTCACAGACAGACAGACAGACAGACAGACAGACAGACAGACAAAAATTCTAAAAACTATAGATTCGGCCTCTGTATCGATAATGATGACTATTTCAATAAGATTTTCCAAAGAATATTTAATGTACAGATTCGACTCGGAATTTTATTATAAGTATATAACATCGTATTAAATAACTGTACAAACGCCAAGAGTTTTTAATGCACGCTCCTATCTAATAATTATTTTAGCCCCTATTTGAATGCAGTTTTTTAAATTAAACCTTGGCTCTAAATCAATGAAATTTTATAGGGTTTATTCTCCATAAATTGCAGCAGTTTTAAAAAAATGATGCAGATAAAAATCACAGGAAAAAATTGTCCATATGGACAAAGTTAAAGATGAAAGTTAAATTACTGATGTTATTCATAGTGTCTTATTTTTATTTAGACTTTTAGAAGATTCTGACATAAATTATTATAATGCCCAGAAGTCCCATCCCTGGAATTATTTTAGAATAAAAAACCCACTATCATATAGTTCACACTTCGGCTGTAATTGCATAGTTTGACGAAACATTTGGCTCAGTTTGTATTTGCTGTGCCAGCGGTCGCGGGTTCGAGTCCCACTGGGGGGCATTCATTTGTGTGATGAGCACGAATGTTTGTACTTCAGTCATTATAAGTATGTATTTAACGTTATATATTTTGAGTATATCAACTATCTAGTATCCATAACATAAGGCGTAACTTACCATGGAATTAGATGGTGCTGTGTGTTAATGTCCCAAAATAAACAACACATTGGAACCACTAAAAATGGTGAACATGCGTGGGGGTTATATCGATAGTTATTGATGCCCTCCACCCCCTGATTAGATTCATCAATCATGTTAAACGCTGTATATTCACAGAATATAATGATTTCTGCGAATCAAAAAAGAAAAGGTTATCTCTTCATCAATGGATCCGGGTTCGATCACGAGCAAATGACAAATATCCGTAATGATATGTAAATATTTATTACTGTATGTCTGTTTAAGTATTGTGATTTATATTATTTAGGCCTCTTATTAAAAATTCCTTGGTGTAATGCGATGGTAGTGACAACTGCACATACGAAGATCCTGTGTTCGAGTTCCGGGTCGGACCAAGTTTAGATATTCAATCTTCATGTAAAGAAATTCCCAAAAATTGGGAAGTTGGCCATAATTCACCGCCGTGCCTGGGAGAACACGTAAAGCCGTTAGGCCTTTGCCTGATTACTCATCGTGAATTAATTATTACTGTCCCATCGAAATTTCATATATATTATCTACTAGCGACTCACCCTCGCTTCGCTCGAGTTCGTCCCTAGCTTGCTTCCCCATACAAACTTTCATCCCCATTCTCACCCCCTTAAGGGATGATTTCCGTGATAAAAACTATTTCATTGACTCACTTTTCATATCATGAGATAAAAATCTTATTTTAGTAAAAAAAACTTTTAATTTTCTTCTAGACAAAGCTTGTCCTGACAATAACAAACGCAAAACAAAAAAGAAATATCCAGTTTGGTGAAGTCGATCGGAAGTTATGCGCGTACATACATTTCGGTGATTCATTTTTATTTATATACCTAGATTTTTCAAGCCGGTCGCAAATTAAAGTCATTCAGAAAAAGAGCACGCGCATTTTTATTAATTTTAAACATCCAAACAAACTGCAGTTATATTTAATAAACCTTAAATAAAGAATAGGCTTATTTGACAAACATATGACAGTAACTGGTAAACATATAAATAAAATTAAAGTGTCTGTCTGTGGTTACAAAATAAATACGTTTTATAAGTACCTAGATTAATTTATATGATACCAGTACCAGTACAAACCTTTTTAATTTTTTGAAGTTATACTTCTTTTAGGACGTATGGAAAAACGTATGAAATAAATATATTTTTTTTACGATGCGCACGCACACCGACAGCCAAAAAGCGACATGATAAAGTTAGCTGATAACTGTTTGTTGCCATGGTAACCGTTGTTATTGTCTTATCGTAGTGATAAAGAAAAATGAATGCAAAGCGTGGATATGACAATAATGACATACCTATTCGTTATGTCGGAAAAACATGTTTAGACGGAAAAGGTTAGTATACTAATTATTATTAATTTATCATTCCTTTTCAAACAGAGAGTTGTGATATACGGGATGAAATCTTTAGTTATTTTTGTTCTGTTACGCCAAAGAAGTATAACCTTTTACATGCGTACATAAGTACACACACACACGTTTCTTTTTATCTATTTGTCCTTCTGTTTGTCAGGGATAATCTTTGAAATGGTTAAACTGATTGTAATGGGACTTTTACAACAAGATAGGTTTTATTTCACGATCCAGCGCGAAAAAAGTTAAAAATTACGCAAAATTCAAATATAGGATTTCACAAAAAAGTCCGTGAATGCATGTGTGTACCTCCTTATGGTAAACTTATAACAACAGCTATTCTTATCTATATAAAACGTACCTAGGAGCGTATCCGAGCGAAACGAGGGTAAATCGCTAGTGTATACTAAAACATCTTCTTTTTCCTACGCTTGTCTCAATTTTATTTGGGCTCCGTGCAATATAACTTTTATACCACTCATACTGCTTTGAGTTTATCGCAGATTTTTGTATACTAAAACAACATGGAAGATAAAAGATAATTTAAAAAATATAAAAAAAAACAAATTATAATTTATAAAAACCCCTTTATTTCATATCTAGCATCACTGTGTTTACACTAAGATATATTACACTATACACGTATTCACATTCACATAATAAATATAAACATTAGTTATCGATATGTATATAGACAATAGTAAAAAAATACCAAAAAAAAATACAAAAAAAATTAACAGCCATCTTTGATAATCTCACAAAATACAATACAAGTTAGTTTACAAATAAGTGTATTTGTTTTTTTTTATTTTGCAAAATTACATTTGTTTTTAAAAAGTAAAGTATACATAATTTAAAAAATAACTGCTAAAAACGAATCATCAATAAATTCATAGATTAAACTAAAAAAGTTACTCAATACCCTATATTCAAAACAAAATTGCCAAAATAAAATCTGAATTGAATAATAAGTCATATTTTAAAATTAATTTAAAAAAATGACTCACATACAATACAAAATTCAAAAAGGAATATTAAACTGGTTCATAGAATAACAAGATCCAAACATTTTTTTGCTTCCGCTATATTTTTTTTATTAATACGGTCGTTGTTATACTACCATAATTTTCATCGGAAAACTATATCAAAGAAATGTAATTTATGACAATATTTGTCATCATTCATATCATTATCATGACGAGTTTCATCATCATGACCAACATCATCGTCATCACAATCATAATCATCATAATTTGAATAATATTATGATGATCATCAAAGACTTCACCAATACTTAATAATTATATTTGGATTAGATTATAATATGGAATCGATTTAATCTCACTTAGTGTAAAAACTTGCTATTATTGTAAGATTTGTCTTAATATAAAACAATCCTGTTTTTTTAAAAAAAAGTCCATCCCTTTATAAAAAATAATGTTTTAAATATAAGATATAGTAAATTTTTATATAGTGTATGTATATTTGTACAGATTTAATTTCTTTCTATTTTTTTTCTCCTAAATAAAAAGAGAATATAAGAAAAAAAATGTTACAAAAATATCAAATTGAATATTTAGCAAAAAGAGAAAAGTTACAAAAATCATCATATATTAAAACAATTCATAATATTTAAACAAAAAACACATGGTTTTACTTCAAAATATCAAAAACATTATTTTTTTATTTAATCTATACATAAAATGTATTAACCTACTATAGTAGAAAGGCATCTTTTTATATATCTATGGAGTCAACTTCTCACGTTCTTTAAATGACTTCATTTTGTAGGATTTCTAACCAAGATATCTTTATTGGTATAGTTTTATCATTATTGTTTCATTTTATGTTATACATATCCGCCAACACGCACTTGGCCAGCGTGGTGGACTATGGCCTGATCCCCCCTTTTAAAGTCCCACAGCTGGGCAAGGGTCTCCCTTCAGTACGAGAGCAATCAGGTCATCCAGAGTGCAATTTGTTTATTGATGTTTGGTGTTTATTTGTTTATTTGTGGTCCCATCGTTATTTTCATTTATCTTTCATTGTATCATGATATCATTGCATTTTTGGTGAAATTATTTTATATCACCTAAGTACTGAATGGTACAAAAATGTATTTTAACGAACTGTTAAGTTTAGTTTAGTGAGTGCTCCTGAAAATTCTAACGAGTCGATTTTTTTCTAAAATGTACGTGAATTTTAAGGCTAACATCTGATTCTCCATTCTACGTGACATTGGCGAAGTAATCTGTGCTCAACTGGCACACTTCGAAGCCAATTAACAAGAAAATTGAATTGAATTAACAAGACAATTGAATTGAATTAAAATACCTATTGAACGGTGATATATAACGTCAAAAACTGTGACCAATAAAGTTGCCTCGTGTTATCACTAGATGTCGCTATCTCACTGTGATCATTCAATCGTTTGTTCTTTCTCCGTGTCATTTTGTGCACTCGTTTCCGTTATTCTCGGCAACGAGGGTGTGATGGCCGGCGCGTCCTTCTCTAGCGGTCTGAATGACCAACTGCCAGCTCCATCGAATTCTAATACGTGGGTGTGGTATTTCCTAGAAGAGAAATTATAGAATTATAATTTAAATAATTACAATTAAAATAATCTATTCTAATATTATAAAGAGGAAAGTTTTTTTTTGTTTGTTTATACCGGGTAAGCTCCAAAACTACTGAAACGATTAAGATGAAATTTAGTAAGAAGATAGTTTGAGACCCTTGGAAGAACATAGGATAGTTTTTTCCAGAAATCATCCCTTGAGGTGGTGAAAATGGGGATGAATGTTTGTATGGGGAAGTAACCTAGGAATAAACCTGATCGTAGCTAGGGTGAGTCAGTAATATATACATTTATTTTAATGTAAAATGTTATATGCGTGTTTGTTACTCCTTCACTCTAAAATAGTTCGGCTGAATTCAGATGAAATTAAGTACATGGATATACTATGATCTAGAGTAATACCATGGTTAGTTACAAAATTTATCAAAAGATGACGCTACCTGCATATAATATTATAATTTATGATTACAAAAGACGTTTAAGGCCCAGATCATCCTTAAATAAACATATTTAAACACAAACGTCAATAGTTTTAAAATAAAGAAAAGAGAGTGAAACTCGACAGCAGTGGGACACTCACCAGACGCTGGGGCGGTGCGTGATGGAGAGCAGCGTGATGCCCTCGCGTATCGCCTCCTCGTACATCACCACCTCCGTCTCCATCGACACCGCGCTCGTGCACTCGTCCAGCAGCGCGTACACCGGCCTGTGTGTTTGTTTAAAATAATTATTTTTAACTTAAACTAGGTACCGGGTGGGGCAACGTGCGTTCACCTTGTCGTGGTGGGGGGGCTCAGTAGTGCCCGGCAACCCAACCGGGCGCGAAGCCAAGAAACGCACAGGAAGGTGGCCCTCTTAGGGCAGTGTACCATGCGGGTTGCTCCTGGTACTTCTCTGATAGCAGAGTGGACTGTGGAGCAACCCCGTGGTTGTTGTGGTCTGCTTCGGCAGACCTGCCGTCGGGGCGTCGTAGTTGAATGCGTAAGCGATCCTGCGACGCCCCATTAAGACGGGGGAAGGTTTTGTTGGGTTTTAGTGGGTAGTACTGGCTTTGCCGGTGAGTCCCACACCTCGTGCGTAAATGCATTTTCCAACGTTAAAAAAAAAGGTACCGTGTACACGCCTGCGAAGGTTTCTGGCGTATAAAAAAAAGATTTTTTTCTTTGGACGTTTGTTTTTTATGCATTTTTAAACCACCCTAGCTTAAGGACGCACCCGAGCGAAGCAAAGGTAAGTCCTTGGTTTATTTATAAAAAATAATCAAGAAAAGCGGTCCAGTTTTGGTATAGCATAACTTACGTTTTTTTTATAATTTATCTATTAGTTTTGTTTTTTTAGAGTTTACAATAGGAAATTATCAAAGCAAGCAAAAATAAAAGAAGATAAACTAAGTGATAATAACGGGAGTGTAAAATTCATACAAAACTTGTTACTTCTTGAAACAAATGTATGTATAATCAGAATAGAATAACATACAATTTATTTATGTGTACATACAACCTTTTAAAATATATTACAAAAATAGAAGGTTGACATAAGTTAAATACAAATTATGTCAAATTGCTATCTCTAATAAGGAGGACCGTATACATATATTTATGTACGGTCCTCCCATAAACATATATCATATATTTTATGTTGTTCATCGAAAGTTACGCAACGCTTGCTCTTTAACTGTACGCGTGCCGCACACTCGTAAATGATCATACGCATGTGTGCGTGCGGGTCGATGTTTGCGTGCGTGTAGCCGTATAAGTATAAGAGGAGGACCGACCGGTGGTAGAACATGCGCGCGCAGGCCACGCGCTGCTTCTCGCCGCCGGAGAGCGTGGCGCGCCAGTCGCGCACGGCGTGCAGGCCGCCGAGGCGCGCGGCGCAGGCGTCCAGGCGCACCACGCGCAGGATGTGCGCCGCGCGCGCCTCGGCCGCCGCGCCGCGCGCGCGCGCCGGGTACGTGATCTGGTCCAGCAGCGAGCCCTCCGACATGTACGGCCTGAGGCACCGCACGGGGATACATTCATAAATAAACATAAAAATGACTTTTATTTCCTCTGACCTCTCTGTATTTCAGCAATTTTTTAACGTCCCCTATGTTAATAAATTTTCATTAGCATGACATTACATATATTATTGTACTAGAATTTCCCGCGGCTCCGCCCGCGTACAGATGACCAAATACCAAATTCTTAAGTTTTATATATTAGTATACTCTTAAATTGCAGTTTTTGTATTTTTTCTCAGAAATGAGATATTTTCCGCAGTAAAAAGTATCCTATATGTTGATCCGGATAACCAACTATGACCATACCAAATTTCATCAAAATGAGGGCAGTAGTTTTTCTGTGATGCGGTAACAAACAGACAGATAAACAAAAATTCTAAAACTATAGATTCGGCCTCTGTATCAATAATAGTGTTTATTTCAATAAAATTTTCCAAAAAATATTTAATGTACAGATTCGACTTAGTTAGAATTCTATTATATGTATATACGTATACTACGATAATATGAAATCTATAATTCCTGAACAAAATGTCGTTAAATATTTTCTTAAATTTACGCGAATATTTGACATTTTAAATAAAACTACCTTTTGCGATATTTTCGTAGATTTATTTTGATTTTTGATTTCCTTCTCTCTCTCATTTATCTTAAACCTTAGTCTCTCGTGACCATGATAGCTATAAAGCATTAGAAACGTCGGAAACCAAAATCTAAAACCCCGAAAAAAATCCGAAAAGATCGTTTTATTTAAAAATGTTAAATATTCGCGTAAATCTAAGAGAGTATTATTCAAAAATTCATATTTTAGCTGACCTCTGCGGTATGTAGAACATGACGGGGCGCGCGGCGCAGTGCGGCGGCGCGTGCGGCTCGCCGGCGCAGTGCGCGCACTCGCACGGCTTGGGGATGGACAGCGAGCCACCGAACACCGGCCACAGCCCGGAGATTATGCGGAACAGACTGGAATTGAAAGAGAAGATAGTATACATTACATAATTATATTCTTTGTGTCAAAGTTGTAGAAACTTGCGTTTAAAATTTAGTTTTTTGTTAATCTTTGCCATATTATTACTGAGTCTTTTATACCTTCCTGCATTTCTATTCCTAGATTATAGATATATTCCTAGGTTACGTTAGGTTAGTCTTCCGTCCTGTAATGTCATTATTAAACAGCTAATACCATCAAGATCATCATCTAAACAGAAATACCAACAATTACATAAAAAATCAAAATGAAGTCATTTTAACAAGAGTACCGACTTAAACAGCTAATGGCATGAAAAAAATGAAAAAAATATTTATTGGCTTATACAATATGCGTTACAAATAGTTGCAAGGGCCCCTGTATTAGGTGTGAACCCGTGTTACTGGGCACCCCATTCATCCATGAGGACAACATAAGATAAATCAACAGGTAGTGCAAAAACAATGCTAATGGCATCAAAATAAGGATCATCTCAACCCAGCCGAGATAGAGCGAGAGCCAAGGTCGTATGAATAACGCGTGTGCACCTGGACTTGCCGCAGCCGTTGGGCCCCACGATGAGCAGGTGCGTGCCGGGCTGCAGGTCCAGCGACACGCCGCCCGCCACCACGTCGCACGCCGGCGTCACGATGGGCACGTTGCGCAGCCGGATTGACAGGTCCGTCGTGTACGTGATCTTACCTATCGTTTACGTATATACCATACATATAAATATTACTTTTTAAATTTTCGCGTTACATAATTATACTACGGGACTTAAACGCGTGAATTCGTTAGTAGTAGCCGTGATCACGGGCAGACGCAACGGCTGGTGCGACCCAGTCGAAACCTCGGGTATAAGGTACATAGCCATTAAGGAATCCACGCGTGTCGTGTCGTGTAATTATCATATAATCCCATATCAATATGTATTATACATGCGAAAGTTTAGATGAATCGATGTTTGTTATTCAATCACGCCACAACATTTGCACGGGGTTTGAATGAAATTTGGCACAGACTTAGATTATAGTCTGGAATAATACGTAGATTACTTTTATCCTGAAAAATGAACAGTTCCCGTGGGACATCCATAGTAACCGTTAAAACGAACCTTATGTTGTCTTTATTGTTTCTTTAAACCTAGAGCTTTTTTAAGAAAGCTAAGACACAAAACGCTACTTTGACATATGATGCTACAGAAAACCTTATTTATAATATTAAATCGTAATGGGCTTCATCAATTACCTAAACTTCGCAATTGTGTAGTTATGTTCATATTAGTTAAGCTTTTGTTCTTTTATGTACTTATTATAATAAATGCAAGATTGTACGAGCAATACTTTTATTTTTATAATTAAAGCCGGTGACTGACCCATGGGCACGGGCTGGCGGTCGCGGAAGGTGACCTGGAAGGCGGCGCCGGGCGCGGGCGCGGCGTGCACGGCGCGCACGCAGCGCCCGCGCGCCACCTCGCCGAACACCACCAGCATGTCCGACACGCGCGTGGCGTACCCCGCCAGCGTCACGATCTCCTGTTACATACAACCCACGTCCACAAATATTATATTATGTACTGCTTCGCAATACAAACTTTCATCCCAAATTTTCACCCCCTTAAGGGATGATTTCCGGGATAAAAAGTATCCTATGTCCTACCCAGAGTCTCGAACTATTTTCTTACATATTTCATCTAAATCGATTCAGTAGATTAAGAGATTACCCCCTACAACGTCACGAACTCACAAACTTTACCTCTTTATAATATTAGTAATTAGTATATATGTATTTAAAGTTATAATGTGTAGTGTATTAACTACCCAGTACCCATAACACAAGCCCCGTAGTTTACTATGGAACTAGACGGTGCTGTGTTAATGTCTTAAATACATACATGTTATAAATATAAACACCACTTGATTGGAGTACAAATATTCGTAATGATCACAAAAATGAATGCCGCCGACGAGACTCGAATCAAGTACACTACAAACTGAGCCAAACGTGTCGTGAAATAACTAACACAGCCACAATAATATTTTAAATGTGAAATTAACTCTGACTGCCTTATCTTTTCACACTTAATCCATTGAACCGATTTAGATGAAATTTAGTATGGAGATAGTTTGAGATCCTGGAAAGGACATAGCATAGTTCTTATCCGGAAATCATCCCTTAAGGAGGTAAAAAGGGGGGTGGTGGTTTGTACCGGAATCAATCATACTCAAGTAAGGGATATAAAACTCATCATATATTCCGTACTAACCGTACACCAAAAGTAAAATAAAATATAAGTAAGACTCCATATTGCATTCTAAAATTACCTTATAGCTAGACATGAGCCTCTCGATAGCGTCTGCTGCAGAATTGAGTAAGTTTCTTGAAGTCGTCATATACTCTGTTCTTTCACTAATGCCTTGTCCTATAGAGCCTGTGGGGTTACACCATGACTTTTAGTACATTTATTTAACTTATTGAATAGAAATTTTAAAAATTGCATTAAGACACTGATATATAAAAACATAAAAATACATTTTCTAACAAATGCCTCTTCAAATCAAAAAATGGCGTCGACATATGACGTTAAGTCAAACCAAAGATCAAGATCAAAATTCTAAACACAAAAATTCGACCTTATGCACACCACATAAAGTACTATTTTAAACGAAACAACGTGCATTTCAATTTTGACATCCAAAAAGCAATGAACAAAAGAGATTTGAAAATATCGCGTGCACTTATTTTGAGGATACTTGAGACGTTACGTTACGTTTTTGTACATCTGTCTGCTAGTGTTTTATATATCAATACTAGAATCCAGTATTTAGATAGACACTAACCATCGATCTTGGTGCCGGTGAGGATGGGGAGCGCCAGCATGACCATTCCGGTACCGGACCACACGTACTTCATGCAGAACTGTTCCAGCATCACGTACCAAAGCTTCTTGTTGAACACTGACGTCATCTGCGTGACCAGCTGCTTATAGGCTGACTGGAGCTGACCGAGTTCCACCTGTGAAGGAAAATAATGGTTAAAGAATCATATTAAGAGCCAGATTTCGACCACTGCTTAAATTGTAAACTTTTCCATGTATTCATCCCTTTTTAACGTCCCACTGGGGGTGAGCCTCACTTCAATACGAGGTGGATCAGGCCTTAGTCTACCACGCTGGACGAGTGCGGGCGGACTGAGCATATCTTTCGAAAACTGGAAAGGTTCTCTGAGACATGCAGGTTTTCTCACGATGTTTTCCTTCACCGTAAGACAAGTGGTAACCATGTTGGAAATTATTCGCACATGAAAATATGAGAGGTGCGAGACCCAGGATTTGAACTCGCTTCGTACCACTGGGCTACCACTGCCTTCTCAAACTTTTACTTATAACATTATTTTGTATGTATTCGTAAATGTAAATTGTTCTTTTTTGGATAAATAAAAATCAACTTCTGAATAAATACATATATGAATGTGCCATTCAATAGCCCTAACTAAGCTATCTTAAGTGTAAAATGTTTACAGAACACCATTACCATTGATATAGTATAGGCCTCACCTGATGTCCACCGTAGAAGGCAACCTCCTCAGCATGAGCGATGAGCCTGGAGTGCACGTGTCTCAGATTCGCCTTCATCTTAGCCTCTTCCCCGGCGAGAGCACCGAACCTTGGACTGAGCAGCCTGAGCAATTGTGCCGTGAAGCAGATCACCACTGTCGCTATACCAGGCCCTGGAAGACAAACGTACCAGTTTAGCTCGCAGCTTGGATATGGCTATTTTTTTAATATTTGTAATAGTTTATATTAGGCTTTTAGGGAAAAAAATGGAAAATTTATTAGGAATATTTAGAAAATCTTGAAAATTTCCTTGTCTGCCTCTTCTATAAGATTTTTATAAGACATTCTTAACAGAACTGCATTCAAAGTCTCGAATACCAGCCAAGTTATCATGCATAAACGCCACAGATTAACTTCAGTGACTGTTAAAATAAGCTTACGAAGCATAATTTGGATTCGTCTTAAAACTCAACAAGAGTTAATAGTAGTTAGTACTAATTACTTCAGAGCAAAGTCTTTGTGTACACTTTTTATCGAAATCTATCCACCCATTTCATCATGTAGGAGAAACAATAACCAGGAAGGAATAAACAGGTGGTTATGTGGTACTCATCGGCTAGAAAAGCTAGTACTACCCATTAAAACACAACAAAATCTCTCCCGTCCTGTTATGGGGCGTCGCAAGATCGCTTACGTACTCAACTATAACCCCCCGACGGTAGGTCTGCTGAAGCAGACTACAAAAACCATGGGGTTGCTCCACAGTCCACTCTGCTATCAGAAAAGTACCAGGAGAAATCTACATGGTACACCGCCCACCGAAGTGGGCCATCTCTCTATGCGTTTCTTGGCTTCGTGCCCGGCTGAACAGGCTTTCTACATCTTCCCCTACTTCCCCAGCTTACCTAGGAACATATTCCCCTTCATCTTGTTGGAATAGCTGGCGAGGGTGAGCACTATAAGGAGCAGGTCGAAACACGGCTTCGTCAGAGAGCTGTACAGGTGTGCCACTGATTGCGTGAATGTTGACACGTCTTCTGTTAATCTGTAAATATTATTATTTATATGATAATATAAGACTTATCTACTGACTTATTCTTGTTTTGCTTGGATGTTAATAGGAGCTTGTCGGTAGCCTATGTGTTACTCCATATAGGCTATCTGTGTTCGAGATTTCATCTAAATTCGTCTAGCCATTTAAGAGTGAACACAGTGACACTACCTGCGGCTCGATAAATTCTATTTCGATACAAATCGAATGTACATCTGGTCAAATCTTGGAAAGTGCGACATCGCATAACAATTACGGACTTTTTTGCGTTTGCTAAAATTCTGGTGAAAATACTTTAATTCTGTCTTATGTAATATTTTTTTTCTTGCACTATCCTTAGTAAGACACTAGAGACTAGACATAGATAGTTAAATCTCTATTTTGCTCTTTTAAACTATATGAAAACAAAGTCAAAAATCTTTGTCTTAACAAGACCGGGACAAACATTTGTATATTCATACTACCAGTTACTCTGTCTGTCTGTGTGTCTGTTACGTTTTCACGCTTAATCCGTTGAACCGATTTAGATGAAATTTGGTATGGAGATAGTTTGAGACTCTGGGAAGGACATAGGATTTTTATCCCGAAAACCATTCCTTAAGTGGGTGGAAGTTTTATGGGGTATTAATCATTTCTTAAGTAAGGAATATAAATAAAACTCATTATACCTATGTACATACATATATATAGTCTATCTATTCCATACTACCCATCAAAACTTACTTAAGAACAAACCCAAGCAAAGCGAGGGAGAATCGCTAGTTTTATATAAATTCAATCTCGAGACCTTCGGAGTAGTAGATAGCGCACAGAAAGGACGCTTAATGAATTACAATAATTTGCCATTTATTAGTACCTGTGATCTGCATTTTCTATTCTCGCATCAAGATTAGCTACTCTGTAATAGGTTTGATTTTTGAAGTACAATTCGTACGCATGGTTGACGAGCCTCGTCCTGAAGGCTAAAGCCAACCGACTCTCCAGATATCTTATCATGGAGTTGATAAAGGTCGCCGGTATTGCAATACCGAACCATTGCATGAGAAGCGCTGCAAACGCTCGGAGATCCTTTTGTACTATGTGTTTTACTGTAAAAAAAGTATTCATAGTTAGGGCATAGGTTAATATGAACTAACTGTAAATATTTAAATCGATTTGTCTGGGTATTTCATGATTGCTACACTAATAAGGATTAAGTCATACGTTAATTGACCATGAATATGTGAAGGAAAACATCGTGAGGAAACCTGCATGTCTGAGGGAACTTAGCAAGTTTTCGAATGATATGTGAAATCCGCCAACCCGCACTTGGCCAGTGTGGTGGACTATAGCCTGATCCCCCTCGTATTAAAGGGAGGCCCGTGCCCAGCAGTGGGACGTTAAAAAGGGATGATTACATGTAAATACTAATTAATTATCCAACATTTTTAGTATCGTAAAAAAGGTGATTGATACATGATTAAATGAAAGCGTCATACACCACTTTCATGGTACTCTGACATACAAAAAAGTAATCGGTCGTCATTAGATCACAAACAACGCTAATCTCGGCTATGTTACATTGTCAATGGTCCTCATAAAGCAACCTTGGATGTCATAAAACATTCACATACGCTACGTACGTACATACACAATACACATACATATTTATATGGCTATTTTTATCTAAAAAACTACCTACTCTAACTACACATGAATCTTCTACCAAAATACAAAGAATAGGGTGGAGTGAGATTTTTTTTTAAATTGAATTAATAAGATATGAAATAAAAAAAATCTAACCATTATTGCAATTCAAAAAATAAAATAAAAAATAACATGTTTTTTTGTATTAAGTTGAAAGTTGAGTAGAAAATGATTATATTCGTCAATTCTTGAATGTTTTCAAAGATGATCAATCGAAAAAAATGTTCATTCAAACCAAAAATTTAGTTAATTATAAATTTTAAAAATCAGTGCGCCACCTCAAAATGTTTAGTAAAATAAAAAATTGTTTTTATAAGGTACAAATTTTACACTCAAGCTAAGAAAAAAAAATATTTTCGCTCCACCCTAATGAACTATAAACCCAAATAAATTATATATACTCAGCTTACCTATCGACCCTTCCAAATGAGCAACATATATAGAGAGGAAGGTTCTAGTAAACAAGCAAACAGTATGGGTTGCCAACAGTGCCACCTCATGGCTCCTGAACCCTGGAACCATTATTCTGGCAAGGCTGATGAGCTGTCTGAGAAACTCCAAATTCAGACCAGGCACGTGTTCCTCGACTGATTGGGTTTCATCAGCATCTTCCTATAAGAATAACTTATGTTTGCATTTCGGTTACAAATCCTAAGAACTATTTTCTGCTACACTTCAAGTATCGAACCCAAGATCTTTCATCATATCTATCATCGGGTTGAAGAGCATAAGATATTAGGTCACATGCTAGCCATAGACCAATAACGAAAACAATAATGGATATTTCCCAAACATCCTCCTCAAAATCGAGTAAATTTAGGAAATATTTGAAATTTATATAGTGAAATTAGCATCGCTATCACTTATGTCTCTATTGAAATGGTCATCTTTTGAAATTCAATTAAATATTTTTGCCGTATTAAAAATTAAGTTTTTGTGTTAAACTTTACAATGATGTCATTGTAAAGTTTAACACAAAAACTAATAATAAAATTAAATAAATTTATTTTAAAAAATGTATTGCATAAAGATCATGACTTTTGAATCCTGTAAAATAAAAATGACTTTATCATTAATTGCTATGAATTAAATGTTATAAATACTCTGAAAGTCTCCTTGAATTGGGAGACTCCACTCGAGAGTACTGTTGACATTTACAATTAGTTTGGATAATAGATAACACATTGGGAAACTTACGATATTTTGTTTATTATCAGTATCCGCGTCCCCCCTGCAGAGCGCGCACTGCTCCGCCCCGCACCGCCCCCCGCACGTCTGCGCCTGACCACCATTCTCCTCTACCGGCCGTAGCTGACCATTCTTTGCAATCTGAAAATTTAAAACAAACGTATTTAACTAATGCATAAAGTTATCTCATCAAATTAAAATATTCCAGTAAATTTGGATGTTTCTAAAAATATAAAAAAACATACAGCGTAAAAAGAATTAATATATAATTAATTAATTATATGCAATAAAATTATATATATATTTATATATATATATATATATATATATATATATATATATATAATTTTATTGCATTTTTAAAATAATATTATTTTTTTATTTCTCCTCTATTTTTTGATGTGCAAATCCCAATTTTAAATGTGTTTTACGAATATACAATATTTCTTAAAAAGCTAGATTTTATGTTCAGCTTCCCTCGCAAGGTTTAAAAGATTGAATTAGATTTTGACGTGAAGGCTTAATATAAATTAAACTATGAGATGATCCAGAATAAAGACTATCTAAATTAAAAATTTCACTCAAATTCGTTCAGTTGTAACGTGAACGTGAAGTAACAAATTTCATGCAAGTGAAGCTGGAGGTAAAACTATGTCTTTATAATTTTTAACCTTTGTACTCAGATAAAGATCAGCAACAGTCTTGATCTTGATAAAATTAGTATAATTGCACAATGAGAAACCAGTTAAACAATACAACTCATTTTTTTCTCGTCTTTGTTTAATTTTATAAAATATAATTTTAATAACTAAGCTATTATCAAGAATATGCCAAATTGTAGTAATTTGTTGCCTTTTTTAAATTATGCAGATAACAAAATTAGTTTTATATGAACAACTAGTCTTTACCCGCAGCTTCGCTCGCTTGATATATAATTAGGGCGGGGATTAAAGGTAACCTAACTTGCCTAAGTTTATCGAAATCTGTTCAGCGTGAAAAGATAAAAGACAGAGTTACCTACATTCATATCTATAAATATAATAAAATTGTAACTAACCCTAATCTGTACAATAATTTTTTTTTTGAAAACCTTATTGAAATAGACATAATTATCGATACAGAGCCCGAATCTATGGTTTTTAGAATTTTTGTCTACCTGTCTGTCTGTCTATGACCGCATCACGGAAAAACCACTGGGGGGATTTTGATGAAATATGGTATGATGATAGCTGGTTCTCCGGGTCAACATGTAGGATACTTTTTACTGCGAGAAAATATCTCATCTCTGAGAAATCTACTATCTTAAATATATATAATAACGGTAAAACGTAAGTACCTAGTTTATAATATTAACATGGGGTATGGACTTTGTGATCTGTTCTAAATACGGCTCTGTTAAATGACACATATTACCAAAACACTTATCACATATACGAGTATGTACATACATACTGTACATATATTACGTATATTTAATAAATAAAAAATAAATTAGTCACCGTTGTTATGAAAGTAATAAAATATTTCTCGCTATGACTAATAGCAGAGATGACATAGGGTACCGACCCCAGAAGTCAGCCACGCACCAGTACTCAGCCTTTTCTGGCTTTAAATATGTAGGAATAACGATATAATTTATTTAAACCAATGAAATTACGCCCAATCAGTTCAGGGACTCCTCATTGGTAAATTAAAGATGCATGAGTTAGTGTGAGTAGTCGGTACAAAGAGAAATTTGAGTCCATTTTGACATTGTCAGCGGATAAGGTAGCGCGTGTGGCAGCCGCCATTTTTTTCTTAACGGTCGGTGGTTGGAAAACAGGTAATAATTTCAATATTTTATTAATGTTATGTAAATAATTTGTAATTTATGTGCCTAATTTATATATTATCCATCTTATTTAGTTAAAACCTTATTATGAAATAATGAATTTACGTAAATATTGGCATGGCCGACTACTGGGTTGTTGTTTTTGTTGATTTTCCAGAGGTCAGCCATCACCGGCTGACAACTGGTTTTCAGCAAAAAAATTATTTTTAAATGTTCTTAGTATCAACAAATAGCTCTTTAATAACTTTTTATTTTAAATCAAACATGTCATACACAATTTTAACAAAACTCCAGTAGTCAGCCACTTAAACAATCGCAACATTACCTGTGGCTGAGCACTGGTTGTTAAAAATCTAGTAGTCGGCCTTGAGATGTAGATTTTATAATAGTTTTCTATTTAGGTTTTATCTTCAAATTAAAGTATTTTTTGATGGTAAAATCGTTTTATTTATTTTCAGATTCTAGTCATGTCTCTTTCTAGGCCGATTTTACAATATCCAGAAGATAAACTGACACAAGCTTTAGATGCTATACGAAACGGCATGAAAATTAGAGAAGCCAGCAGACTTTACAGTGTTCCTCGTGGTACGTTGCAAGATAGGCTTCATCTTCGAGTACCTGAAGGTCCTAGAAAAATGGGTCCTGATTCTATTCTTTCCAAATCTGAAGAAACAGAGATTGCAAACTGGCTTATTACTCTTGCAGATTGCGGATTTCCCCTTAAATCTGACAATCTTTTAAATACTGTTCAAAATATAATGATTGAAGATGGTAGGCCTAATCCTTTTACTAATGGGAGACCAGGTAAGAAATGGTTGCAATCTTTTTTTAGAAGAAATCCATTACTTTCTTTGAGGACACCTGAGGCGATCTCAAAAGGAAGAGCAATAATTACAGAAGAAAGCATTAGAAAGTGGTTTGATAACTTAAAAAAATATCTCATTTCTATTGAAGCACTAGATTTGCTAGAAGACCCTCAAAGAATATTTAATGGAGATGAAACTAGTTTCATCATTTGCCCTAAAACTGGTAAAGTGATAGCACCACGTGGATATAAAAATGTGTATCAAATTGTTAAGGGAAAAGAAAAAGAAGCAATTACTGTCCTAGCATTTTTTTCTGCAAATGGCGATATTTTGCCTCCATGTGTCGTTTTTCCTTATATTAGGCCACCCAAAGACGTTGTGAATAGTATGCCTGATAGTTGGTTCCTTGGCAAATCTGACACTGGTTGGATGAAAGCAGACGTATTTTTTGATTATGTATCAAAGTGTCTCAACAAATGGATACAAGAAAATAATATAAAAAAACCAGTACTTGTTTTTGTTGATGGTCATAAAAGCCACATGACAATGGGGCTTAGCCAGTACTGTTACGATAATAATATTATATTATATGCGCTTCCACCGAATACAACTCATTTGATGCAACCAGCTGATGTCAGTGTATTTAAACCGCTTAAATCTGAATGGACGTCAACTATACACGAGTGGTGTTCTCAGCCAGATAATTTAAATTCTGTACTAACCAAAGCAACCTTTTGTCCACTACTTGATAAAGTTTTACAAAAGTCAACACTAATAGCGTCTATTAAAAATGGCTTTCGCAAATGCGGTTTGTTTCCATTTAATCCAGATGCGGTGGATTATTCAAAATGTATCCAAAACAATTTAGAAAATAGTAAAGCCATTGCGCACTGTTCTAAAAAATCTCCTTTTAAGACATTGAAAAAGAAAGAGTTTGATACTGCAACTAAAATCATAAAGCATATAAGCAAAGATCTGACTGCGTGTGGTATCAGTGTGGAAGTTGTACTACAAGTTATAGAAAATGCAAAACTTTACGAAGGATTGAATGATTCAATTAAAAGTAATACTACTGAAAATGAAAACGAAAAAGAGAAAGTAGAGATCGATCAGGAAAAAATCAATAAAATTGATGAATGTATTGTTCAAAAAGACATAATAGAAAGTAAAAAAAATCAAGTAAATGAAGTACAAGAGTTATTGTTAGAAAATAGGGTTAATAAAGAAAAGATTCACGAGAGAAAAACTACAGAGGAAATAATTTTAATTAAAAGCACTGGAGTACAGGAAGATAATAATATATATGAGGATGTTTTCACTAATTCATCACAACAGGATATTCAGGCTAATAGCTATCTCAGTGGCCTATCTTTGCCACTAGGTGATGTTACATTTATGAATAATCTACTGGACGACGAATTAAATATAGGTACATTTGAAATCAATGAAAATTCAATTTTAATGCCTATTACAGAGAAATCCGGAATTCAAGATAATAGACAAAATGTCGAAAGATCTCTTGGTTTCAGTGCTCTAATTGATTCTATGATTCAGAGAGAAACTCAGAGAATATCACCCATCGTACGAAAACATCTTGTTATACCCTCGCCAATAAAAAAATCTTCGACACATAGAAACATGAATAGGATTGGAGCAATATCTTCTTCAGAATGGAGACTATTTGAAAAAACAAAAGAGGAGGAAAAACAAAAAAAGAAAGACGCTATCCAAGAAAGAAAATTGCAGAGACAGAAAATTAAGGACGAAAAAAAACAGGAAAAGATTAGTAAAACGATTAAAAAAGCACGAAGTTTAAATAAAAATAAAACAAAAATATCAGCTAAGAAAGATGACAATTCTGAGGAGGAATTTACTATAAAAAGTATAAAAAAAAGAAAATTGACCGCTGTAAGTGACAGTGAAAATACAGCGACAGAAAACAAAATAGACGAATGTGATACAAAGAAAAATAAATCACCTAAAATTAAGATTCTATCAGTACAAACTACCTTTCTAAAACCAAAAAAACATATACAAAATTTAAAAAGAGATAATTGTGAAGAAAATGAATGTATAGACCCGAAAAATATTGATTTAATTGTTAATAACAGAGCTTTGCAAAAAGCAAATAACAGAAGAAAAACATTTAGAAATGAAGAAGAACTTACAAACTTTTTAAACAATAATAATAACTGATTAGTAAAGCTTTAAATAATTATTAAGAATGTTATATTAGAGAGATTAAGTTTTTTTTGGTTTATATGTATGTTCCTAACTATTTTAAGCATTAATTATTTAAAATATTAATTATTGATCTCATATAATTATGTAGAGGCTGACTACTGGTAAAAGTATGGCTGACAAGTGGATTTTAGAGGCCGAGTATTGGTGAAATGTGCCTTATTTCGTTAAAAATGTGACTTTATTATGTTATACAGTATAATTGTCATTTACGTTTATTTTATAAGAAAGTTTAATAAATGAGTAAACTAAAACTATAAAAAATCTTTTATTTTTTTCTTTAAGTATTATTTTATGTAAATACAAACTTGTGATTTCGGTTAAAAGGCTGACTACTGGGTTCATTACCCTAACACTATTCTCTAGCCTAGCTTATAGTTTACTTATCTATACATATAATAAAATTGTAACGAAGCCAAATCTGTAAATTAAATATTTTTTTGGAAAATCTTATTGAAATAGACACTATTATACAGAGGTCGAATCTATGGTTTTTAGAATTTTTGTTTGTCTGTCTGTTATCGCATCACGGAAAAACCACTGGAGGGATTTTGATAAAATTCGGTATGATGGTAGCTGGTTATCCGGGTCAACATATAGGTTACGTTTTAACGCAGGAAAATATCTCATTTTTGAGAAAAAATACAAAAACTGCATTGTAAGAGTAAACTAATATGTAAAACCTAAGAATTTGGTTTTTGGTCATCTGAACGCGGGCGGAGCCGCGGGCAATGCTAGTCATTAATAATAATAATTCCATGCCATAAACCCTTTTACTTTTCCATTTTTTCCATAGTCCCGACGCATTATCGCGAGGTCATCTTTGGGCAATTCCCTATGGATTACTCAGAGATGGATCCCGCCTGATGCGTCACATTAAACAAACTTGAATCTCTTATAGGGCCTCTACGTGTTGGACCTGTGTCCCCATGCAAGCCTTACAAAGGACTGGGCTCCTTTGAGCCCGTAAAATCAAAAGAGATACAAATAATTATAATTAAAATGGAATTTACATTACAATAGTTTTTACAGTTATAGGAGAGCATAGAAGGCGAACAAAAAATATGTTTTTTTTTTATATTTATATGTTCATACTTTGTGTTTTATGATACAATATTAATACTAAATAAAAAATATTTGCGTCACTATGAAATAATGTAGTAAATAAATTAATTACAAACTCATATTGAATTTACAGACGGCCAATGACCTCTTAGTAGATATAAAAAAAAAATTATTTACTAAATTTAAACGTTTGGAAAGCTTTTTTAAACAAAAAATATAGTCAATCTCATTTTGAAAAATAAAAGGTCGTGCGTGATTTTTTTTTTCATGATTTAGTTCTTTTCAACCGACTTCTTCAAAAAGGAGCAAAAAGTAGGAGGTTCACAATTTGGCTGTATTTTTTTACGCAAAGCACACCGAGTTCGAAAATATCTGATTAGGTATCTATAGTAAATGATAACTACCAATCAGTTATTTTTTCTTTTTAGTGGTTTTTTTTTGTTTTTTCCCCCGTATGTTTGTTCCACGATGTTAGCTAGAGCCGTTATGTACGAATTGTAAGAGTTCATGGTTTTCTGTAGTTTTAAGTAGTTTTAAGATATTATATTTATTCTAGAGATTTTATCCTTACTTTAAAGTTTAAACCTTCTCGATTAGACCAATAAAAGGCTTACGATTTACTTTTTGCATTTTTAGTTAACTTGCCTTACTAGTGTACCTACAATCTACATATATATCTATATACTCGCATCACGAATGTAAATTATTATTTTTTTAATATTATCTCACTTAGGTTAACTGGAAGAGATCTCTTCTAGAGATAAGTCCACCTTGCTAATTTTATTGTTTGTTAATCTCTATATTTTACATAATAATAAGTGCAATAAAGAATAGTATACAAATAAACCCACCCTACAATTTTAATTTGTTTAGTTAAGCAGAAGAGCAATATTACAGAATAATACACGTATAAGTTCTTCCAAACCTAAATAAGTAGAAATGAGACAAGGTTAAAAAAATGGGTGCGAGTTTAACCTTTACGCGCGGTTGAAATAAAACTTCTTTGACAAATATCGCAATTAAATTATAACAAATCAATAATTTAAAAAGACATATCAAGCATATTACAATCATATATTTATAGAATATCATACACGGAAAGAATATAATATTATAAATGTATTTGTCAGACAATAACAGCGGTTACCATGGTAATATGGCAATGTATTCTATCTCATTCTCTCTCCGGCTTAATTCTATATATTTATGTGTTTGACTCTTTTTAGTGTCGCATTTTCGTTTCATCGAGTTTCGAATCACAACGATTCTAAAGAAGTTTCACTTCAAAAAAAATTGGCCCACTTATAAATAACATGAATATATAAAAGGCGTTTGATGTCAATAGGTAGGTACTATATTACCGGTATTATCGACATTATATAATGTCAAAAGCTTTTTAGGCCTAAATATCTGCAAAGTTTCAACATACAAACGATACAATGGGGCCATCATTAATATGATAATTTGCAATATAAGTTCAAAAATCACTTTCGCAACTGCATGCTTGTAACCTTTGCAAAACACATCACTCATATTTGACCGACTTGCTAAACAAATAAATGTTGCCTCATAACTATTATGTCTATTTAAGCGGGTCTATTATATGCAAATATTTTATATTGTTCAAATATTATGAATGCTTAAACGGTTTTTCAAATAAATCTATACATATAATAAAATTGTAACTAAGTCGAATCTGTACATTAAATATTTTTTGGAAAATCTTATTGAAATAGACTTTATTATCGATACAGAGTCCGAATCTATAGTTTTTAGAATTTTTGTCTGTCTGTCTGTCTGTCTGTTTGTCTATTACCGCATCACGAGAAAACCACTGGACAGATTTTGATGAAATTTGGTATGATGATGGCTGGTTGTCCGGGTTAACATATAGGATACTTTTTACCGCGGGAAAATATCTAATTTCTGAGAAAAAGTACAAAAACTGCATTATAAGAGTATACTAATATGTAAAACCTAAGAATTTGTCATCTGAACGCGGGCGGAGCCGCGGGCAATGCTAGTTCTCTATATATAGGTAGGTAAATAATATCAAGTATCGTGCTCCATCGACTCGACAGGTTTCAGTGGCATTAGGAATGCTAATAATCTAGAATCATAATCAAATCACAAAAATATAACAGAATCACTTTAAAGTAATTATTCCTACCTTAGGGGAGGATTTTTGAAGGGAAAATTCTATAGACAGGTTTGGACTAATTTGTCACAGGAAAAGAGTTACTTGCTTACTACAAAAAAAAACTATTACTTTTTTTTTATTAAAAATAGCCTGGAGCAAACTTTTGGTGACAAGCCCCCCTGGGTCGTGTTTGTTAGTATGTTTTATGGTTCAAAAAATATATTTCGCCCAGAAAAATAATGAAGGGTCCACCACATAGATCGTACATTAAAACATTAAAAAGCAATTGTATTTCTAATAAGGCCATGGAAAATATATAATAGTATATATTTATCGAATTGAAGACGCATATAAGTGTAGGGTAAAGTTGTTTTCATCATTTTGATTGGCCAATTAGGCACAATTCGTAAGTACAACAAAAATTACTGCATAATAGCTTTCGCTTATGACTTATAAACGACCAAGTCTGACCACATATATACAAATTCTATAAACTACAAAATATGTACTCAGATATATATACATATGTATATTCATTATTCACTTCCCGTTTCTTTAATATAAATATATAATTGTATTATTTATTACACATATTAGTAAAAAAATATATAATACTAGCAGAACTCGCGGCTATACCTACGTTCAATGTACAAAAAAAATTCTTTGGCTTTATGTTACAATAACACTAAAAACGCGATTATAAAATGGTGGGTGGGGGTAGGAGGGTGAAAAATACTTTACGACATATTCTCATACCTACCAAATATAAAAAAAAATTACAGTCGATCGAATCATTTCGGAGGAGTGCCACCACAAACACCGTGACACGAGATATTTATATATAATATAAACCCAAGATTAGAATTTAAAGTTATGGTAATTTCACACAACCTTTTCCTTATTGGCAATCAAATTAATGTTTCCAATTTATGAAATATGCTTTAAAAAAATTTAATTGATTAGTGGTCAGACAAGTAGACTAACCAAGGTACTCGTATTTACAATACTCTAATGATAATAATTAGTATGTTGTGGGGACATTAACACACAGCACCATCTCCATTTTCATTCATTCCATGGTAAGCTACGAGGCTTGTGTTATGGATATCAGACAGTTGATACACTACACATATATAACTTTAAATACATACATATTATAAATATAAACATCATGTCTGGAGTGCAAACATTCGTGCTCACCACACAAATTAATGCCCCTAGCGGGACTCGAACCCGCGACCGTTGGCACATCAAGTAGGGTCACTACAAACTGAGCCAAACGTGTCATCAAATAGTACGCGAGACGTGTTACATACGTAAAAAAAAATTATAATACGTCTGTATTTACATATTTTAATAACTATTTGCAAATTATGTTAATTAAGAACCACTAAATGATATATACGTGAGAAAGAACTGAACGGTAGGTTTGTTTATTTGTGATTTACGGAAGAATTTTGTGACTCAATCTGGCACGAATATTCATAAAACCGACTTCAAACACAAAACTAAAAATTAAGTAGATTGGTAGTTTTCATGTATTATAGATACCTAATTAGCTATATTTAAAGACGGTGCGCTTTAATTCGTATCGGGTCACGGGTGGCAAACATAAAAAAATACAGCCGCATTGAGTACCTCCTCCTTTTTGAAGTCGGTTAAAAATGACATATAATATCTGCTAGTGAATTCGGTAGCCAGACTTCAGCCTATTTGAGGTATATGCTTTACATATATAAAAGATATA